CACCCTCGTCCATCGCCACCATCACTGTCAGTTCGTACGCAATCCTCATCAGTACAATCAGCATCATCATCAGCATCTGTAGCATCAGCATCATCATCATTAACAGCATCATCAACATCATCATCAGCATCATCACGGGTATCTTCATCAGGATCAGCAGCATCATCATCACTATTAGCAGCATGAGCATTATCAACATAGTCGGCATCATCGCTGACATCATCATCATCGGCATCATCAATATGATAAGAACAAGCATCAGTATCATCAGCAGCATCGTCATCAAGAGCATCAACATCATTACCCTCATCATAATGACCATGGTCATCCTCAACATAGAACTCACGGCCGTCAGCATTATCACCATCACCATAATCAGAAGCAGCAGCATCAACAGCAACATCATAACTACGTGCCCTTTATCCTCCTCCTCCTCCACTCCTCCCTGCCTCCCTCCCTCCCTCCCTCCCTTCCCCCTCCTCCTCCACCTCCTCTCCCTCCGCCTCCCTTGCGGCGAATTACTGTTCCCAGACGGATTCATCCTAGAACATTGCACTGGCAGATGCGACCGGCGCCTGCCTCCCGGACGGAATCTATTTCCACGGGGTCCACCCCAAGACAGGCGCTGATGGTGTCGCGTTCGTTGTCTGGCATGCTCGCGACGTTCTCGAGGAGGAAGGCCACCTGAAGAGGAGTAGAAGAAGAGGGAGGAGGCGAAGGAAGAGAGCGTTGGAGCTGTACGGAGGTCTAGGGGACCTGTCTGGCTCCTGTCGGGTGGTCGCACGGGTATCAGGTGCTGCGCGGGAGCAGCGGGGCGAACCAGCTAGTCATCGGGTGCCCCTTGAGGGCCTCGGGAACGTTGTGGGAGTTTCAGAGCAGGAGGAGGAGGAGCAGTGCAAGGAAGAAAAGGGACGAGGACACAGACGAGCACCCCCAAAGACGACGAGGGGAGGAGGTGGGTGAAGAGGGCAAGGACGAAGATGGATGGGGAAGGGAACAGATGACGAGGAGTGGAGGAAGAGGAGGATGAAGAGGTGCAGAACAAGGAGGCGGAGGAGGAGCACGGAGGAAAAGCAGAGAGAAGGTGGAGGAGGAGGGGTGAAAGTAGGAGTGTGAGGAGCGAGGCAGAAAGGGGTGGAGGCGGCATGACGGTGGAGGAATGCGAGGGAGGAGGCAGGAGGAGGAGAGGGGAGAAAGGAAGGAGGCGAGCAGACTGAGGAGGCGAATGGAGAAACAGGGGGGACAATGACGCCGAGACGTGGAAGGCAAGAGAGGTGGTGGAGGATGATGGAGGAGGAGCTCACGACGCTTTCAAGCAAAAAGCCGCCTGAACGCCGAGGGACATGATCCCCAAGGGAATGTCACACACCGACCGCGTCCTCTCCCCCAAGCAGCAGCAGGAAGCACAGGAGCAGGAGCAGGAGGAGGAGGACCAGGCGGCTACGAAGAAGCGGCGTCTCCAGGGGAGAGAGAGAGAGAGAGAGAGAGAGAGCACAAGGATGACGAGGAGAGAAAAAGGCGAGCATGAGGATGGTAACTACGACAATGACGAAGACAAGGAGGAGGACGACAAAAAACAAAATCCACAACAACAACAACAAAAGCAAGAACAACCACAGCAACACACAACAACAAAAACAACAGCAATAACAACAACAACAACAACAACAACAAAAACAACAACAACAACAGCAACAACAATAACAACAATAACAACAACAATAACAACAACAAGAACAATAACGACGATGACGACGACAACGACAACAACAGCAGCAACAACAACGACACCAGCGACAACGACGACGATGACGCAAGTAGCAGCAACAACAACAGCAAGAGCAACAACAACAATAATGGCAACACCAGCAACAGCAGCAACAACAACGACAACAACAACAACATACAACAACAACAACAGCAACAACAACAACAACAACCACCACCACCACAACAACAACCACAACAACAAAACTTTCAACAACAACAACAACAACAACAACAAAACAAAAACAACGACGACGATGACGACAACAACAACAACAACAACGACAACAGCAACAACAACAACAACAACAATCACTTTACCCGAACGCTCAGTGTTCTCACCAGTGCCAGGGTTTTCATGCGACGCCAGCCAATACCCCCACTTTGTGGGGGGGCAGTGCAAGCTCTACCAAATATCCACACGACTCTTCGCCACCACCCACACCCAGCTTCCCGCCCTATGACGTTCGGACACTTCACTTCGTGGCCTGCGGACGACCGTGGCTACTACACTGGCGTGGAGTACACACCTCCTGGCGCCGCTTGGGGTCCTCTTGAGGGGCTTTGGGGGGCTTCTTGGAAGCATCTTGGGGCCTCTTGGGGGCTTATTGGGTCCTCACGGCGGGCTCTTGGGGCCTCTTGAAGGCCTCCTGGGGCAACCTATGGCGCAACCAGTAGGGGGACGTTTTATTCTCGGCGGCCGAGGGCGCAACCTATGGCGCAACCAATAGGGGGGCGTTTTATTCTCGGCGGCCGAGGGCGCAACCTATGGCGCAACCGCAAGGGATTCTGGCCCCTGGCAGGCGCGCGAACCCCGTTGCAAGAGCGTGCGAAAGTAGCTCGCGCGAGCTCATGTAACATAAATGTTGGAAAACCATTGGTTTTTTTAGGATTCGGACAGCGCGCGCGGGTGGAAATTTTGAAAAGTCGTGCAGGTGTTTTTCGAGGACCTACGGTGCGATTCGTGTGATTTTATGATGCGCGGTGCTAAAATTCTTAAAAACCCAATGGTTTTTGGAGATTTCGGCGTGCGCGCGCGAAGAAAAAACGAATGTGTCCCGCATGGTATTATTTGACAGGGATGATGGCCCTGGCAGGTGCGCAACCGTTGTCGCAGAAGTTCGAAAAAGTTGCTCGCAAAAGCCCGTTTGACAGAAATGTTTAAAAAGTGTTGGTTTCCTACGAATCCGCAAGAGCGCGCGGGATGAGATTTTGACATTTTTTTGTTGAAAAACCATTGGTTTTTTGATGTTTTTATGTTAAAATCGCTCCGAACACTAAGCTTTTGGAAGGATTTCGTCTTGCGCGCGCGAATGTCCACTTTACCTTATTTTTTGCAAGGGATTCTTGAAATTTGATTATATTAGAACAAGAAATGTCATTTTATAGTGTTTTTTGCAAGGGAAAACGGATTACAACAAAACAACCGGATCTTGATCACATCGTATTACCTGAGGCTTCCTCACGAAAATGATGAAAATGTAGCTGCGGCCTAGGCGGCGCAGGGGGGCCGTGCACCAGGGGTCCCAACAATAATTATTCTTTAGAATTAATAATGTTCCACAGCAACAGCAACTGCAACAACAACAACGACGACGACGACCACAACAACAATTACAACAACAACGACAATAACAACACCACCAACAACAACGACAACGACAACGACAACGAGGAGGAGGACGATGAATCCAAAGAGCAGCAGCAGCTGCAGCTGTAGGTGCGCTGGTGTCCCCCCCAAAGATGGGTCTGGTGCACCGAAGCCCTCGCGCTTACTGGGGGGTCCACACGCTAGACGTGTCGCAGACAGTCGGCGCTTTGGCGGATTCTGCTGCTGCTGGAACTGCTGATGATGCTGTTGTTGCTGCTGGTGTTGTTGCTGTTGCTGTTTGCTGTCGTTGCTGTTGTTTCGTGCTGTTGTTGCTGCTCTTGCTGTTTCTGCTGCTGTTTCAACCGCAACCCCAGCACGTGTCCATCTGTGGGACATATGTCCACGGGTGCCAGGCGTGTCGGCCGAATGTCCAACCAACAAGAAAAACTTCGCGGTGGGTGGCACATCAAGAAATTGCTTACAATGCCCAGGTGGGGGCGACATTCCGCCTGGGCACCGGCGGCAGGACGCACACGCCCCTCCCGAATTCAACACACAAAAAACGAACAGGTCTGGGCGACACGTGAAACTGAGAGAGGAAGGGGGGACAAAAGGGGGAGCAAGAGGCGAATGAGGCGGGGGCGCGGCCGTGGGGTGTGCGCCACCAAACCCCACCGTGAGGCGCGCGCGCGCGAGCAGGCAATGAGAGGGAAAGAGATGACCAAATACAATTCGTGGGTCTGTGCAACCCGGTGGGGGTGCCGTCTAGGGTGCCGTCTACGCGACTGGCCGTACAGCCCTCCCACCAATGCAACCTCATGAACGAGCCCGCACACCGACATATAAACGCATGGGCCGGTACAGAACAAAAACAAGGGCCAGCGTGGGAGAAAAAGAGGAAGCGGAGGAAAAGGAGGAGGGGGAGGGGGAGGAGGACGGGCGCCCGCGGCCTCACCCGACGCTGCGGCAATAACGACGGCGGCCGCGGCTGTTTGCGCGTGGGCGGACAGCTCGCGGAGCAAGCTCTGCCACTGCGCTTGGGCACCGCTGGCAGCACAAACTCTGCGGAGCCACTCGTGGCCTGCCGCGTCGAGCCGGCCACTCGACTCAATGGCTAGAGGGACGAGGTTGGCGATAGGGCACCGCTGACGCTCGCGGTCCTCCGCGCGCCTGGCAGCGACGCCACCCCGGCGCAGGCGCACATCTAACTGTTCACCGTCGGTCGCGCGGATGTCCGCGAACGCGACGTCGACCAAAAACTCGCATCCGCACACCGCGGCCACAAAGTCGAGCCCGGCAGCGAAAACCTCGCCAGCACGCGCGTCGATTCGGTCGAGCTCAGGTCGCCGCTGCTCCACAGCAACGACCGCCGAGCACTCCAGCCGGAGACGACGGGCTAGCAGGCGCACTGCCCCATTGCGTCGGCCGAGAACGCGCCCCCCGACCTCGCACTGGGCGGCACGCGAGCCCGAAGAGTCCAGCGGGGCACCGCGGCAAGGACACCCGCGACGGGGTCGGCGCTGGCACTGCGGTGAAATTCCCGCCTGGCGCCGAGGGTTGGCCCGAGGCGCGAGGCCGAGGCCCATGCGGGCAAGCACAGCCGCAACAAAATGAGGGTCTGTCACCCGGAAAGAAATTGACC